CTGGGCACATGCTGCTGCCCGTGTATGCCAGCAGCCTTCCCACAAGGATTCCCACTCTGCAGAATGTCTCATACATTAAATCCACCATCAGCATCAATACTTTGGGGTCTGCCTCACCCCTGGGATCAACCTGTACCTATTCCCCCCCAGTCTCACTTGCAGGGGGCTCCTATCCCATCCCCAGACAAACCTGTAGTCCAGAGAGCTTCACTTTGTAAGCTTAGCCAGCTTCTGACTGTTTCTAGTGTAGATGTTCACTCACCAATCTTATCATTTAAATGATAAAAATCTTACCAGTCTGAAATTTATTACTTCATTTTTTAGTAGTGCTACAGCACTGAACCTAATGTAACATTCACACGAGTATTCTACAGCTTGAAAAGTTACACTGCTTCAGATATTTTGTCAGACACTGAAGTAAGACCCACTGCCTTCCAAACCTAACTCTATCAAGGGAACAGGATCAAGGGAACAGGAAAAAAAATGTTGTAGAGTAGCAGCAACTAATCAATTTAAAGAATAATTGTTTTTGTTAACAATTTTGCCATTTCATTCTTTGGCTCCCTCAGAACATTTGCTTGCTCCAGTGAGTTGTTGCCTTTAAAGTACTCAACACTTCCTGCTCTAATCCTGCTTCAATAGTTTTATGCAAAGAGAGTTAATTAGGAAAGCGAGCAAAAGAGAATTACATCACTGTAACAACAGTACTTGGCATTTAGTAGTCTCTTCAGTTTGAAACTCTCAGAAAGATTAATAATTATTATTAAAATAATCCTCACAAACTACTGCAAAATAAAAAGGCTTCTCAAAGCCTATGCTTTGTTACAGAGCAAAGCTAGGAGTACAGCTGCATGTTCTCAGGTCTGTACTATGTCTACCACACTGCCCATCCTTGCCTTTCTGTTTTTGAAGTCACAGAGAGACAGGAACAAGTGGAATTTACAGGTAAACAACAGGATTATTTTTCCCAGATGTCACATCAGGCTGACAGCCATGAGCAAGCATGTAGACTGCTACCCACTTTCAGAATAAAAAGGTACATAAATGTGCTCAGATGTCTCTTCCACCTGGAATACATTAGGTTATGTCACATTGCAATCTTCTATGAGCAGCACTGTCTTAAGCATCTCCAAAATGGTGATATCCACCTTAGGAAATACCACTTTCAAGAGACCACTTTGATAATTAAAATACAGTGGTTGCAAAAAGCTAAGTAGGCATTTTCCAGTGCAGACCTTTAGGCAAGGCCAGAGCCTTGGAATCACACTCTGCTTTTAAATTTCATGGCCAGGTAAACATTTTCAGCCCAAACTCAATCCTTTGTGAATCCCCTGTGCACACCTCTTCTATTAGTCAATACTGCTTGTGCAGAAGAGAAAAGAAAACCTCAACCAAAACAAACAAGTCATATCAAAACCTGAAAAGCAGATCTCTGCTCTGGAAAATCTTTTCTCCTCTTCCTTCAAAGCCCCCACCTTTCACTCTTTACATATGGCTAAAAGACAACAGTTGTTTGAAACATGAACGCTCTCCAGGTACAGAGGTGTCAACACAGGCTAAATGCAATAGGACTAAAAGCTTTTCTTCTTTTGAGATTGCTGTGTAGGAAAAGAACCAAAGATTTCTTGAAAAAGGAAACTGGTAAAGAAAAACACAAAAAGAGAGAGAGAATGCTGATCTCCCCCATAAAAGACCAAAAGGAAAATTGAGACATTAGAAGAGAGCTCACACTTAAAATAGAAAACATCGCTATATCCATTTTTACACCATGTATTAGCTAGCCTTTAGGTGATGGTCAGAAGAGTCAAAATCTCCCCTTTGTTCACAGTTTCAATATTATTGCTCTCCTTCTGTATCAGTTATCTACTCAGTTTAGTAGCCTAAGGTCAGGCTCCAATTTACCAAACTGCACATCATTAACCCTATAATAATAACCCTATTTACTTCTTTCTTCTCCTCACAATATTACAACCCACACATTGCAGAGAATGCATAATGTACTACAGTCTGCCTTATAAGCTGCATCCTTAGTCAACAAATATAAAGCCAGAATATTCATAAAGAACTTACGCCCATAAAACTGAATATACAACATATGATTTTATCCTATTCAGCTGTACTTCTAAGACTTGTTACTTTTCCTCCATTTTGCTGTGTAGCAATATAAAGCCAGAGTTTTCAGTGTTTCCTCAGGGATGAAACACAAGAATCTACCTTGTCAGTATGGCCTACAAAAAAGGCTATCAGAATTTAACTTTTTATGCCACCTTTTGTACGATGACTCTTATTGACAGTGGAAGTGACAGGTTTCATGCTCTGCAACAGTTCCACAGTAGAAAAAACTGTTGCTTCTCCCTTCTGAAGTAGTCCTTATCAAAGGTATCACAACTGCCTTGCCACCCTCAGGGGTTAAACAAAACGGGTTCTTTCTGGGTCTTCTACCATCTAATCATCCGAATTAAACACACTTTAATGAAAATTGGTAAGAAAAATCTGAAAAGTTATTGTTGGCTTCATTAGTCTATTCATTTATCTACTAGTCATGGAGCCTGCAAATTGGCAATGTCAAAGCTTTTGCTGACTGCTAATTCTCATAGGTGATGTATATTGTACAAATAAAAAAAAAGACACATTAAAATGCCAGCATTATATACAGTACATTTTCCACTCTCCCCAAAATGATTTATCATAGTCATGTTCACACTCATTCAGCCTCCTGTACCATAATTTATTGGGAAACTGTTCCGTAATTGCTGGTATGACTTTGACAAGAATTATATGGTGAGAAGGTTTCAATCATTAACCATCTAGAAATATCCAGTGTTATCCTCACATATGACAATAAAAGCTACGCTGGCACTTCATCCAGTCACATCACTTTCCATATTCATTTATATTACCAATTTAGGAAGAGTGCTTTTCCACTAGCTGCTCTGAAGAGTCCAAGGAGGCAGCAAGACAGAGTTTTAAAGCCTTTTCAAAGTAAAATCCAACAGCCCCTGAACCAAAATCCCTTACCACCTAGCTATCACTGTGTTTGAGCAAAAGCCAGTGAAAATCAAAACGTATAAAAATAATACCACAAGCAAGGAAAGAAATTAAAAATACAGTTGTTACAGTGGATGGTGGGATGAAATCAATGTTTCACTGTGTCTACAGGCAGAGAGGAAGTGTGCATGCTCCTTTCCCTCAGTACAGCACCACTGCAGTCCACGCTGCGTTGCATGCTGCAGCTCCATTTCTTTCTTTCCATTTCAGAAGAAATTGCTCAGCCATTCATTCTCCTGCTTTAACACTGAAAGAACTAAGGCAAAAAAACAAATGCCTCAGAGTAGCCCTTCCAGTCCACATTTACATGCCTAAGTACTCATTAAGCATCATCACACTTTATGGGATCCTCTGGATGCATCACACCATCAACATTTACAGCATTATTTTAAAATCATGCTTCACGTTTCTGTGATCAAATATGGACTTAAAGTTAAGCATGCATTTCATTGTGATGACAGGTATACTTTGCTCTGTACCGTTGCTATGGTAACAGATGTGGTAGCCATTAAATTTAGAGGTAAAATGTATTCCCAATAGGTTTTTGGTTTGTTTTTTTTTTTTCATTCCTAGTTGCGTGGTTGTGTCAAACTAATTACAATGAAAACTCAGAGAATATGCTCTTAGCTGAGACCAGCAGTTCCTGCGAGTCTTGCATTTACCTTCCTTGGGCTTAAATGTGGGAGATAAAATACACAGAGGCTTTAAACAAATTATATCAAAATTCTTGCTCCAGATGGAACTAATGAAAAATTAAAAGGTTATATCCTAACCAAGACTTAATTAACTAACTACAGCTATCCAAAGTCCTGTACACTGCAAAAGGGAAAATATTTATCACCTCTGAGAAAATACTTTTTGGACCTACTTAAGCAACGGAAATTATAAAAAAATTCCGCACACATTTCCTGTCTGTTATTGAGCATACATCAGAACTCTTCTGATTTAACATTTAAAAAGTACCTTGTGGTGAGACTATTTACATTGAAACCTGTACATTTTACATTTTTCATTAAAAACTCTTGGGTTTCAAAATTTTTTTTAAGAGGTAAGGGAAGAAACTTCCTCAACAGCAGCTGAGAAAATAGCTTCAGAGCTGTCATACAAGTAGCTGGGAAAATATTCCTAAGCTAATGATTTTTATTTGAGTTTTTTTAAATTATTCGCCTCTTTCAGTTTTAAAATATGTTTCTGTTCTAAACCAATTTTTCTGTATCAACCTGTGCATTTGTAAAATATATGTGTAGAAGTTATCTGAACTCTAGTAAATAGCTCTGATATTTTCTGAACTGCTCCCACCGATCATGTGGCCACACTGTACACCCAGCCCTCAAAAAACCCCACAGGAAAGTTCAAATTGTCACGAGGGGAATTCATACAGTCTTCATCTCAAACAGATCCTGGAGAACTGCATCCACACAAACAAGAATCCCTTAAAAATGGAAGTCTGACGTAACTGGATTAGTACTCTATGAGGTAGTACAATCAGTGTTAATTTGTAGTGAAACTATTAAAATGTTAGGTGCTTACTGAAAGGATGAACAATATGGTATTTAAACTGAATTACCACTTTCTAAAACAATAATGTATCTCTGTTGTTGGATTTACAAAAAGAGATATTCACAGACAACACAGAACGACTTTAAGCAGCTGTAGGCTCATGCTGCCAAAGAAACCACTTCCCAAAAGACTCCAGAGCATGTTTCCTACTTGTCCATGAGATTATATATTTCCTGCTCCAGTGCTGCACATAGTGCCCATGCTGCTTCTAAATCTTTTTCAAGCCACTTTAAGAAATGGAAAAAGTAAATTCAAAAAATCAACAATTTTTGGCTCTAGTGCTATCATCCAATGCCATGAGCAAGCAAATCTAGAGCTAACAAGAACAGCCACATTACAGGAATAAATCTGTCATCCCACCAGATGGTACCAACAACTAGAGATTTCCTTACCTGCCTCCTGTCTCTCTGAGACGATGATGAGGAGGAGGCACTTCTATGTGATGGAGTGGATGTTTTGTGAGCTGGAGATATACTCTTCTCCTCTGAACTCATCTTTGCAGCAAACTTGTATTAATGATCTTGTGCTCTTATCACTCATGGACAAAAATGCAGGGGATAGTCTTCTGCATCCTCCTGTTTCACAGTTTATGGACAGCCACTGACAAAGTCAGCTGAACTCCACCTTAATAAAGAAAAATGAGAGAGAAAGAGTGGATGAACATACCCTCGCTCCAAAGTAGCTCTGCAGCAAAGAAATCTGTTGACTATTTAATCCAACACATCTCCCAGTCTTTTACTCCCCTTCCCAACAACTACCCAGCACAAATACAAATGCATTGTTTTGCATTCTCACAGAAGATTAAAGTGGTATTATTTTAAAAAGCCCTAAGGAAAGGTTTAAGTAATTTACAGAAATTCTCAGGCAAAGTTTACAAACCCTTGATAAGGGGGTATTATCCTGCATAATATCATGACATTATCAAGTAATTCCTCAAGAATTGCCTTCCCTATAGCACAGATACCACTGAACACCCCATTATCAACAGTACTCATAAAAATCCTGCAGCTAGATCAAGAACTCTGCAAGTATTTTAAAAAGCAGGTGCCTCTCTCAAAGGTGGTGCCCTCACCTGCAGTATCAAAGGCTTCACTGAGGCAGGGGAGTGTGTGGCTGGGCTCATTTGGCTGCTGGCCAGGGCTCACCCACCCCAGTGCAGGGGGTGTTCCCTTTTGTGTTTACTCAGCCACTGCTGGGTACCCACATCGCTTTACAAATAGCAGGAAATTTCTCTCACTTCTCCCCACCCAAACCTTTCATTTCCACCCACAAACAGAAAAAGAGACATTTAGGGCAGCACAGAGGATATTTGTGTCAATAAATACTCAAACACTACCTGTCAAACCCTATCAAAATGCTGCAAGTGCACCATGACAGCTCAGGAATGGAGCTGCACTTCTCCACGTTTAACAGATCACCGTGATCTTGCTTCAGCTGACTGATACAGAGTCTGATCTTCCATTAACCTTGGATAAAATTGTTCCCTGAATGAGATGTTAGCTTCAGGCAGATGACATATCTTCTCCACTACCCTCCTAATTTTGAAATAGTGCTCTTCCACATTCACTGTGCTGACAGCACACCAAGGGTCAGCACAGCACAGCTAGCTGTGATGGGTGTGGAGAAAGGTGCTGCCCTGCACCATGTTAAATCAGATCAGGACAAACATACATTAACACTCAGACATGACTGCACACTCAAGAAATTATGGCATATTGAAGACAAAGCTCTGGCTTTTCCAGACACAACAGATAACCATGGAAGAATACCATCCTGAGCCCAGATACTCACCCAGAGGCAGCCAAATAATTATTTACATAGTGCCACCAGCTTCTGAATACTGCACCCTAAGAAAAATTCTCCTGCTGGAGCCAAGATCTGTGATTACTCAAAACCTTTTCTGCTTGCTGTACTAAGGGAGAGTGGAATGACTTCAATTTATCAGTTAACAGTACTTTTGCAGTATGAATATCACCCATATCTTATGAATGAGCTTCTGTATCCATCAAGGAGACTTCCATAGAATTACAAACCCACATATTACCCACAGAGGCCACACAGCATCCCAGTGACATGAGTGGGCGGACACATGAGTGGGAGTTGGCTGTTACAACAGCAAAAATCTGACCACATTCCCTGAACATCTTAGTGAATTCTGTATTCTTTTCAGGTTTCAAGTTCCTGCTAGAAGAAGCCTAAGAAGATTGGTTATGCTGGAGCTGCCAACGCCAGCTATAACAAGACTCAAGGTTGCCGGAAGAAAGAAACAAGCTGCACAGCACATTTGTTTCAGAACTTCAGAGAGAAAACCAAATGAAGATGAGCCCAAAGAAAGGCTTTTCCTTTTATCCGAGCATACCAGGGGACTGCTGGTCTAGTTTAACAGAATTTTCATATCCTACAAATGCATCAGGGAAATTTTAGTCAAAGAGGTGTACCAACAGGGAGATCTCGAGGTCTATGAAATTTTCATTTAAATCAAAAATGAAATTACAAAAATCAGAACAAAAATATAATCCTAGTTCACAGAGCTGTGCAGAACCCTTGAGTTATTTAATGGGAAATCTGCAGTCACTTTCAGCTATGAGGTCACTGAATTTTTTTTAGCAGAGTAGCCTTCGGGCAAATAAAAATCAAACCCTTTGTAAAACATCTGATCTTCACTCAGTTGACTCAAGTGGAAAAATTTATATTTAGTAATAGCACAGAAGGACAGTGGCCTGGCACTTCTAGTGTGTTCTGAAGGCTCTTGAAGCAGTAAATGCTGTTGTAAGAAGCAACCATAATGCTAACAAGCAGAACACAATAAAAACTGTTCTGTAAATAGCTGCCAAGTTTAGGATTCTGTCAAGTATGGACTTTTTCTTTTGAAAGGTATGAAATCAAAGTAGTGGCTTACACCTGAGCCAAGCTCCACAATGGTTCTGTTGTGCTCTCCAAGCACTAAGAGCTGAACCTAACCAACTTGTTCAAACCACATTGACTTGTGACCACAACAAAAAACGTCGAAAATATTAAACCACCCCCCTTCACAAAGAAAAGAAGCAAACATTTCTTTTTGCCCTATTTCACAGCAAAAATAGCTTCAATACTAAACCACTATTACTTATACATAGAAATTTCTGATTAAGAAACAGTGCAGTTCAGGGTTAAAAGTCAAAAAAAGACAACTGGAATATTTGAGAAAACATGACTTGTAAGTGCAGCCAAAAAAATATTATGTAAATTAGCAAGAATTAGAACAGAGCTCTTTCTTATTGTTCTTGAACACTGAATTTGGATTCTTTCTATATTGCTAAGGGTCTATCTTCCAATTTTTGCTTAAAATTTGAGCAATAGATCTTTTTTAGAGCATGTTAGAAGGAATAATCCTAGTGGAACTGACATAAAGAGATGCCAGTCTCTCTTTAACTATGATTGAAGCAAACAATTAGAAATCTAATTTTTGGCCAACAAATTGAATCTACCAAAATGACAACGATGCTTTGAAACATTTTTAACAGGCTTTTTCAATCAGTCACTGGCAATTTTGCTGTTGATTTCAATGGGAACAGAATCAAGTCATATACCACGGTAGCATGTTTCTAGGGAGTAACAGAAAATCTAAAAACACATTCAAAAACTACGATGGATGGGTTTTGGGTGAGTGGGATGACCTCTGGTAATCATGCATTTGTTCTGATACTGTTTCCTGACAAGTATAAGGCAAATCTGATTATCCCTCAACTTCACAAATATATCCTCTACATGGAAGTACTTTAATCAATTTCATCAGAAGTAAATCGGAAAAAAAATAATGACATAGGCAAGGGTAACAGCATTGGCTGTGGTTATTAATTGCTGCATATCCAAGTAACTTGTAGGCTGCATTTTGCACACACCAATTAAATCACCCATGAGCTGCTCAGAACCACCTGTCAGCTCAGGACCATGAGTGGATTCAGCCCAGAAAATGTGACAGGGCATTGGCCCACCTGAAAGCTGCTTTGCCATGAGTTCCCAAGGCAGGGATCATCCATTGCTTGCAGCACACAAGAAGAGACAGACGGCCTAGAAAGCAAAAAGCAGACACTGCACAGAGATTTGGGCCATTCAGAAGTTTCAGTGGCTCAGCTGGGAGTTTTGTCCTCAACTTCTTTTTGTTGGCATCTCAACTATTTTGAATTTAAAACATGATAATTACCTACTCGTTCTGCAGTACATTGTTTTTTAAAGGGCTTTACTTATCTTTTATGTAAGGTGATGCATAGAGAAAAAGTAATATGCCCAAAGTCATGGAGAGAGCAAGTCTCATGAGCAAAACATGCAGTGAGACCTCTTAACTCTGATGCATAAAGAAAAATACCCTGTGCCATGATTTTAACATACTCCAGATGAGACAAACACCTATACCTAATTCTATTCATGAAGGAATGCAAAATTACCATACAGGAATGACAAAAAGAAATTACTTAATATGCTAAAGATTCTTTATTGTACAGTTTAGAAATCATTTATACTTTCTTAAATATCTGGAATTTAATATCTCTTCTATAAGAGCTATTCCACCACTTTCTTGCACTTTATCCCTACTATATTTAAATTTTAAGCTAGAATTGAAATCAAGGTATAGTTTTTTCAACGTTTTTGTACTAGATCTCAATTGTTACAACTTGTCTGGGCCTGGGGGACAAAAAGCTACAGATTCCCCATTCTTCATCCTTTCTCTACTTCAACTAAGATTTGAATATTTTTTCCTATACAGTTTTTTTTAAATCTCATTCATTCTCAGTTCATTAGTGGTGTGGTTTGAGACTTCCCCCCTACCCTCTGGTGTCCTAAATCAAGCACCAAACAGATCTAAAACAACCTTAATTCTTCATTTCTTTTCTGTCCTCAAATGGTTACTGTCTTTTTCTGTTTAAATCAACAAAGGAAAATGACACTTTATTTTTCATATTGGAAACCACTAATTTTTACACTAGAGATATTTTGCTCACCCAGAAGTCCTGCTGTCTATCATATGAAACAAAATTATTTCAAATGCATCAAATTAAATGACCAATCCCCTACCGAGCTGTGTAGTGTGATTATTTTTATATTAATATTACTAAATAGCTTGAAAGACAAGGAAGCACTGAGACCTACTTAGTGATGTTTGTTTTGGGTTACAATGCTTGATTTACATATTTTAAAAGTATTTCCTGGAATTTTGTATATTGAACTGCTCAGTAGTGTCAAAATACTGAAGGAGACACTGAATTCCCATATAAAAATTCATTACTCTTCATTTTCTTCAATGAACAAACTACATTGTATCTGAGGTTGCACAGATTGTCATTATTTGAAATTTCATTTTAAAATTGAGTATTTTTTTGCTACTTGATAAAATTTAAAAACCAAAAGGAAGAAGGGGAGTAATGAAATGGAGAAAGGTTATTTTTACTGGGGAGAAAAAAAATTTTTGAATGACATGAGATAGTGCACCAAGGAGTAAACTGGGCAAAGACTTGGAAACACAAGCTGTATAAACTGCACAAAATAACTGGG